ACTAATTTAATTTCAAAGTTCCCTAGCGAATGGCCGACTAATTCAATTTCAGAGTTATGAGACTACTTTTCATTCACATGGAGTCTCTCATAGCTTGCAGATCAAAAATATCCTTCGTCGGGCATTCCCGACGAAAATCAAGGTTTCGGTGTTAGACCGACGCCTAGGCGCCACGCCTGGGAGCCTAGGCACCCAAAATGCCTCCTTGGACATCCAACCCCAGTCGCCTAGAGGTATAGTGCTATGTCCTTGGAATCTTGGTGGCAAACTAAGCGCCTATGCACCAATTCTGGGCACTATAGGCACCCAAAAACACAAAAAATTAGTGTTTTCCCGAGAGCATGAAAGTCCGAAGCCATCTAGATAGCACCTAGGTGTCAAACCTGGCTCCATGGCGTCAGATTGCTGCCCAGGCATCAATTACTTCTCGAGTGATAGAATATAACCATTTTTTACCATGTTTTAACCAAAGAGGTAGCCGAAATGGCAGTGGTCGTGATTAAGAGCCTTGGGACAGTAAAAGAAGGCATGAAATGCCTCTATTACCCTCCTTTTAGGAGCATCATAGGGCTTCTGTCGAGGGCCTTTTAGTCAATTTTTGAGGCATGTTATCTTAAACTAAGGAAAATCCCACTTTTCCCTCTCTCTCTCTCGCTCGAGCTCTCATATTAAATGTGCTAAACCACAGCTCAGTCCAACTTTAAGCTATGGAAGCAAGCAGCGGGAAAGAAGAATGAGAGTGTATATGGCCTAGGCGTGAAGAGCATTACATTTGAGATCGAGCACAAGTGTGCAATTGTGGGTGGCCCTAGCTCATTACAGATTCAACATAATAAGCTCGTCAGGCATATCAGTGTCATGAATGAAGGGATTTGTCAGGTGTGTGAAGACCAACAGATGGTTACAGATGGTCTAGCACATTCGACGGAGAGTTTTGATCATCGGGGCAAGTGGCATATGAGTGTTGTGAATGAAGGGAAGGAGAAGGATTAGAAGTTTTATTATGTGTTGATGATGTCTCTCATTGTAGGGGTTTATGTTTTTTTTTTCTGTTTATGTGACCATTCATTATGTGTAGTTGTGAATATTGAACTTTTGGATCCATATTTGTTTAGTTAAGTTTGTTATCATTATTTACACTTATTGTTTATGTATTTTTTCAGTTGTTATGATAGATAAGTGATTATACTGCTTTTATTTGTTGTGTGCAGGTATGTGAAATTTGATCATTATTTTGCATTTTTTTTTGTTTCTCACAAGTTTGAGTCGGAATAATATCAGAAAGTTGGACTCAACCCCCAATAGTTGGAATAATATTGATTGAAAATTTTCACCATTCTTTCGATGCTAATTCATGTCGAACAGTAGTTGACGCAAATTTGGGCTGACTGGGGTCGGATGCAAAAATTTATGCTAATGTTGCGTTGGTTAGTTATCCAATGAAACTTTAAAATGATGATAATTATAAACGCTAAATTCGACGCAAGAAAATGTCTGACACACAGGCGACGCTTATACAGTTATAGAACCCAAATTTAACGACAAATTATTTTAGATGCTAATCTTTAGCATTGGATTTGTGCTTGATTAGTGTTGGATATTTCTGACATTAATCAACATAAATCTTGCAGTGAAAGTCGGCAAGGCCAAAGTAGAATAAGTCACGATGAGGACAAAAAAATGACTAAATGATACGAGCCCAAACCATGCAATAAAAAATGAGACAAAGAGGCAACCAAAGCCAACTACTATGAAAGAGCCTATCCAGGGAAGATCTGGTTCTTTAGCATCTTCAACCATCCAAAAAAAAACCATATGCCCCTCATCCACATCCAGATGCCCCTCATCAGGGGTCAATGATTAACAGCTGAGCCATACCAACCAGCCGACCCATATTAACTAAAATCAGGTGACCAAGCTAACCCCAATTGTTCAAGCCGATTTTAATCAATCGAGCCAATCTTGCCTATTCGAAGCAAATTAAACTTAGTTGGCTGACTCAAAGATCAGTCAAACGATAAGCTCATACATGAAAAATACCATAAATATCCTAGTACGGGCCCTATTAAAGTTAGAACGTCATGATACAATGTAAATTTATGTGATTTCGCTGTATTAAATATCATAATTTCTTCTTTATATAACATGATTTTATACTTGTGGAAGGTTCTTTGTAGTATTTTACAAGTTGCAGGTCTTGAGCGCGGGTAATAAAGTCAAAACATGAAGTCACCAAAGTGGGGTGATCATCATAACCACACTGGATCTAGGTGTAATTACGTCAAGTGGTCGATAAACCCACCATAACTATGTCAACCTTGGCATAGCTAATATCGGGTCTGACGTAACCACGCAACCACGGGCATGGTTGCACCATCACCAGCTAGAGTTAGGATTTGGTAATAATTTATTGGCTTTTTGGGGCCTCGTCTATATAAGGAATGCATTGGCACAACCTTAGGGACTTCTGAGCTGTTGAAGACTATTTCTATTAAGGTATAATGGGAGTCTTTGTCAACCCTAGGATTTTTTGTTAATAGTACTCCTTGGAAAAGATTCTTAGGGTTGGTTTCTTTGTGAGTTTTTTTAAAATTTGTGAGGAGAGATTGAATGCAATTGTACGAGTGATCTTTAAGTAGCTTGTATTGAACGGAGAGTTTCATGGTGTATTAAAAAATAGATTGGCTAGAGTGTGAGTGTTATGTACATCTTGCACTGCATTCCTTGTATGCACGTAATAAATTATTTTGTACTTTCTTATATCAAGCAACATGTCTTGCTTAGTCTATGTCAGATCATAATAAGAGTTGGAAACTGAATTGCAGTTAAGAGGAACTTAACCTTGCAACGTTTCCAAGGAATCCTTTAGTCCTCTGTCTTGGTTGAAAAATTTCAATGGCAATATTTCTATTTCACCTTACTATTGTGTGTTAACCTACTTGTTCTTTTAGAGGATAGTTCAAAGTCATAGATCACAAGTAAATTAAGATAAAGAAGTTAACACACCAACATAGAAAATTAAAGCACTGAACTGACATATAGGGAACAAAAATTTATAGGATAAAATGCAAGAAAGCCTCATGTCTTACATCACATGAGTATGAAAGCAAGATTAACTAAAATGCCTGAGACGAAAAGTACAAAAACTTTTATTGCAAGCATATATAGGAATTTATTACAATATGTACATAAAAGTTACATCTGAGCCATTAAGTGTTGCAATCCAGCACGATCCTCTCCGTTTAATACAAATAATTCAAAGAACTCTCATACAATTGCACTCAATCTCTCCTCACAAAATCTTAAAAAACTCACAAAGAAACCAACTTTAGGAATATTTTTCAAGAAGAATCATTGGAGAAATACCTAAGGTTGACAAAGAATCTCTTTAAATTTTAAGTGAAGCACCCTACAACAAGTCCAGAAAGTGCCTCAAAGTTGTGTCAATGCATCCCTTATATAGATGAGGCCCAAAAAGCAAATAATTCTTGCCATATCTAAACTCCGGCTGTAGGTGGTGTAACCATGCCCGTGGTCGACGTGGTTATGCCAGACCTGACATAGCTACACCAAGGTCTAGTATAGTTATGTCGGGTCAACCAAGCATCCGACGTAATTACACCCAGAACCAGTATGGGTACATCGGTCATCCCACTTTAGCGACTTTGTGTTTTTGACTTCATTACTCTTGCCCAACGCCTCTAATCTACAAAATACCACAATGAACCTTCAACGAGTAATAAGGGAGACAATATGGTTATAACTCTCATGTGGGCCTTCTTATTTCTCTAACAAGTTTATATAAGTGTAAATTCGATATGATTGAGTGAGTAAAAGAATGAGAAGGGAGAAAGCACAAGTTACAGGAGCGTTGCGAGTAGAGGTATTTACATATCTACACTTAAATTTCAATTTTTACAAATATATCATGTTATCTAAGCATGAATAGGTGTAATTCAATTTTTAAATTTTAAAATAATGATATTTTATTTTTCATGGTATATGAAAGATTTGGGCGGTATAATTATAAAATATAAGGTGTTGGCCTTAGATTGTAAATATATATGTTTTGAGTGGTATGCATGTAAATGCTCAATATTACATCAGCACTACGCACGTAGAGTAGCGTGCGTAGCCAATGAAATTACGCCACGACACCCTGCACGACAGAGAAAAAAAAAGGCGCAGTAACATGAGGAATATTCCTGTTGACCTCACTTTTGGTTGAGGTCTAGAAAACTTCTTTAGTAGCCTAGGTCTAGCCCTAGGACTTTCCTATTGACTAGTCTTAGAAAACTAGAAGAGGTACCCTAATAAAACATGAATAACATGAGGGAGAATATTTTCCCGTGTTACTGCACCGCTTTTTTCTATGTCGGAAATATTTTTCATATTATTCAGGTGTTATTGTGTGCTATTCATGTGTTATTGGATCCTGAAAATATTCTTGGTGTTACAATAACACAATAAAACATGAATTTTCAGGACACAACACGCAACAACACATGAATAACACACAATAACACATGAATAATACAACGGGAATATTCCCCATGTTACTGCGCTATAGGGGGAATATTCCCCATATTACTGTGTCGTTTTTTTTTCCTATCGCGTGAGATGTCTTTGAGTGATTTCGTTAGCTACGCACGTATTTCTACGTACCTAGTACTTATTTAATATTTTTTTCATAGTATAAAACGCATAAAACATGATAGGCGCGCCGTCAAAAGTGGCATCTACGTAATTTCTGATAATTAATAGGGCGTTTCCCGAACAGCCTTGAGAACGATAACGCACTTAAAGATACCTTCAACCGCATACAGTTCTTATGCGTGCTTCCCCGCACGCCGTTAATTATCCCCAAGCAGTTGTAATTGATAGCTCTGATCCATGGTCGGTTAATCGGACGGTCATTTCCCATTCTCGCATAATAAATAAACGTACGGTCAATCGGATAGATTTCAAACCTGTTGCTCCCTGGTGGACTTTATCCTCAAAACATATCTTTATTACCTTTTCTCGGAGGTGAAATGGAGTCCAGCAACGATCGGAGTCTCCCACTGAGAAGAAGAAGAAGAAGAAGGGAGAAGAAGAAGAAGGGGGAGAGAGAGAGAGAGAGAGAGAGAGAGAGGGTGGAAGTGAAAAGGGGAATAGGAAGAAGAGAGGCGAATCGCTCGAATCGGCGAGATTGGAATATGGTGGGGGAGAGCAGGGCAAGGGGGAGAACCAGCGATACGGCTGTCGGCGGAGGTTGGTGGGCCGACGACATGAGCTTGAACCTGTGCAGGGCGATGGAGTCGGAGTATGTTCGAAGGCATCACAGGCATGAGCTGATTGAGAATCAGTGCAGCTCCGCCCTGATCAAGCACATAAAAGCCCCGGTTCATCTGGTGAGATCTCGGGTCCTATTTCTTTAGGGTTTAGGTTTTATTGTGAGATTAGATCGATCAGTTCATTTGCTTGATATGGATTGTTGAGCTAGCTTATGATTTTTATTTTTATTTTTATTTTTTTGGGATTTTGAAGGTATGGTCTCTGGTGAGGAGATTTGATCAGCCGCAGAAGTACAAGCCCTTTGTGAGTAGATGTGTGGTTCAAGGGGATTTGGAGATTGGAAGTGTTAGGGAAGTGAATGTGAAGTCTGGGCTTCCGGCCACTACCAGTACTGAGAGGCTAGAGCTGCTTGATGACGATGAACACATATTTGGGATCAAGATCGTTGGAGGGGATCATCGATTACAGGTTTGATTGAATTTTTAGCAATTGAATGCTGCAAAAATTGTTTGTCGGATCACATGTTCGGTTAACTGAACTGTTCTATCATTGTTTTTCTTCTTTTTCTTCTTCTTTTTTTTTTTTTTGAATTTCTCCAATTTGTGAAGTGGTAATTTCTTTCTTTTCCTCCACTATTTTTCACTAATCTAGAGAAGTTTTCGTTAAAATTCTTATACCGCAGACTCTGGTTTCAGCTCATATACTTCTTGAATTCTCCCTCACATCATAGTAATGAACAGAAGTTCTTGAATTCCCCATTTGTATACTCCGTCCTGTATCTTTTTAATTTTGTTTTCTTCTGCAACCACTGGTTTTAATCATATTCCTTAAATCATCTACTGCTTTAAACCTTCCAATATAGCAAAAAGCCAAATTTCCTTTGTTGGAATCTTTCTTTTCTCGGTTCACATGCTTCGGTCAGATCATACAACTTGCAAATATATATATATATATATATATGAAATTTTATCAGACTGATAGCTTACTGCTTTTATATCAGTTGAAGTGCAGCCCATTATCAACTCTTCCAGACCAGCTCCAGCTGATCTCTCCACCAATTTCTGCTGTTGTTGATGTTGCTGTTGATGCTAAATTAGACATAAATCACAATCAAAAGGTCAAACAATTATATAAAAATTATAACTTTTAATAGTTTCACTTTTCAAAGTGAATGTTTTTTGTCATAATTTGAGCATTACTGATCTAATGTGGAAGAAAGTACCTCAAACTTATCATGAAGAAGGATTGTAGAGACATGGTAGGGATCATCCAGGACCATGGAATTCTGATGCAGTGTGGCTTGAGAGATTATAGAAGAGATGGGATTACCAGGCCTGGTTATGTTGAAGGGTGTGGTAACCACTGCTGCTGATTGATGTAGTTGCTGTTGATGATGATTGTGCTCTTCGTGTTCTTCCTGGCCCATTGAAGCTTCTGTTGAATGAGTTGCAGCTGCTTCTCCAATCCCAACCTGTTCATTAAGAAAAAAAAAAAAAAGAAAGTTTTGAGATCGAATTTTTTGAAGTTTTTTGCTTTTGATATCTTTCTTGCTGCAATTTAATTTCTTCTGACAGATAACATAAGATGACACATGAGTCATAGATGCATATTTATGTATCTTTGGTATCATCAAACATAAAACTTTTTCATAACTACATGATCAAAACCCTGAAAACCGCATTTTCACACCGCACTTATCTAGGCGCAGTGACAACTTTTTGGCAGCGGTCTGGCTTTTTCAAAAAAATTAAAAAATTGTAATAGCCACGGCACCTAGCTTATCAGCAGAAAAAAAATTATGGTGGGAAGTTATGTTTTTGCAACCTGACCTGACTTAGTGTGATGACTTTCAGAAAGCTGCACTCTGAATTTTTGAAAATAAAATAAATTTGTAATAGTGACTTTCAGAAAGCTGCAGTCTGAATTTTTGAAAATAAAATAAATTTGTAATAGTCATCGCAGTTTTTTGAATAACTACATCATAACTACATCTTCAAACAGCTACAATCGCCTTAAACATATCCTAAATCCTGCTGTTGGCAGAATTTAGTAAATCCGGCTTTACAGGATTTTGTAAAATTGTTGCAAGACAAGCTCTCAGTAGAAGTCAAGTAATTTAGAGAGTAGGAAGGATTACCCCATTGCTCATTTCTCTCATTTTGTGTGGTATAGAACTACTCATCAATCGTTACCGTCCACCCTGAGTGCATCGACGGAAGGCCCGGTACCTTGGTCATCGAGTCATTCGTCGTCGACGTTCCTGATGGAAACACGAAGGACGAGACATGCTTCTTCGTTGAGGCCCTCATCAAATGCAACCTCAAGTCTTTGGCCGACGTATCGGAGCGCCTTGCCATGGAAGATCACACCGAACCCATTGATATGTGATGATAATTTTTATTGTTGCTCAATTGCTTCTCAATTCTCTTCTTCTCTATGTTTGTTTTAGAGCTCCAGTTTAAGGAAATCACTGTAAATATTTGTTGACATTTTCTTGTTCTCTGAAACAAAGTGAGCTTTTGAATCGGACCTCTATTTTTATATCTTGCAGGTTTTTTGTCTTATATTTCGTGAATGTTTTGATAGTTGATGACATGGGTGCTAATTCGTGTGGAAATTGAATAAATAAGTTTACTTAGAATTTTTATTATGGTGAATAAAATTACAATTAATTAATTAGGCGTGAGTATATAGATTGAGGATTGTTAATTGCTTGAAAATTGATTCGAATTTAGGCTCAAATCGAAATAAATGAGCCGAGATAGAAGGTAAAATTTTGAATCACTATTATGGCTCAAAATCTGATCGTTAACCGCCATAGAGGTTAGGGATGCAAATTTAATGAATTTAGCTCAAAAATTGTTAATCGCTCGAAAATTTATTTGAATTGAGATCAGATCGAAATAAATGAACTGAGCTACAAGTCAAAATTTTGGATCAAAATTTTTTTCGAGCTGATTTTGAGCCGACCCTAACTTGGCTTGAAATTGATTTGTTAAAGGCCCTAGCTAGGGCTGTAAACAAGCCGAGCTTGAGCGAGCTCAGGCTTGGCTTGTGTTGGATTCATTTGAAATTGCTAGAGTTTTAAATAGACTCGTGCTCGAAATTAACTCGTGAATAGCATGTTCTTGTTCGACTCGATTTAAATATTCTTATTCGTAACTCGTAGAATTAATTGAAAAAAGTAGATGCAGGGTGTTAGATTTGAACCATAATCAAATCTATACAGAAGAAGACACATAACCACATTACCTCACGAGCTGTCACGAGCTGTGTTTTAAGATTAGATATAAATATATATAATATATTTATATATAAATAATATATAACATATTATTATATAAATAATTATCTGATTTGTTTTATTTCTATTTAAAGCAAGTCAAACGCTAGGGAGCAAAGAGTTGTTCATGTTTGGCTCGTTTATAATTCGAGCTTTAAAAAAAATATGTCTTTTGCTTGTTTACTTAACGAACAGGCCGAATACGAGCTACTTAATGAGTCGAACACAAGTTGTCCGCGACAACAGGCTTTTCTGATAGCCGTAGCCTCAACTGTGAACTTCACTTCATTTTGTTGAGAAAGAACCAATAAATTATATTTAAAAGTACTAAAAAAGTTATAATTTTTATTTGCATATGCACCGTATAATTTTTATGTATTTACATATCTAACACCTAAACATTCATATTTATATGCATACCACTGAAAACCTTAACATCACTCGCATAAAAAGTTTCATCAACGCTATCTTTGAAAAGTGATATTACTTCTTATGCGTAAGTTTATGGCATTAATGTGTTATAAATGTAAAATTTTAGGTGTTAGACATGTGAAGGCATAAAATTGTATGGTATCCATGTAAATTTCACTTTTTTTTTATGTACCATATTTGTCATGTTATTTTATAGAGTATTCTAATGCTTAGCTTTGCATTATTTGATAGGTGGAGTTTGGCAGAGCCCTCAGCCGCTCACATTGTTGTGCTATCTATTGGCTGCCATAATGTGAACTTTTATTTTTTAATTCAGAAATATTACTAAATGTGTGCATTGATGCTTGGGCAATATTATTTGTTAATTCTATGAATTTTAGGAGGTGGCTTCTTACTCATTGATAAGGCTAGCTATATATATATATATATATTCAAATTGTGTTAAATTTTATAATTTTGAAATTATATAACTATATATACAGACATATACATATAGATATATACACATATATATGCATCCATATGTGTGTGTGTATATATAATATAAATAGGAGATTGAACGCCGCATGCTCAAATCAGTTGATCGGGCATCTGCTTGTCAGTTGTAAGTCCCATCTGGTTTGGTGTTTGATTACCCCCGAGTGTAGGGTGTAGTACTCAAATTCTTAGGCGCATGAGAGATGGTCGGGGTTCGTATAATAGCCTAAGGTCATTCCTAAAAATTAATTTGTGTGCCGCAAGTCGTGGTCTGTTGGTTGGTGGAGTTCACTGTAAGTCCCTTCAGGTCACGGGTTCAATCCCCAGTGGCGTTTGTTTCTCGAATATTTAGGCACATGAAGCGTGCTCACATCATGGGGCCTAACACATAGGAAATCGGTATTTAGGCCTATGTCAAATGTCGATTTCCTTCTACAATATATATACCCTGGTATTGCCCTTTCCTGGGGTTGTTATGCATGTATTGTCCCTAAATCTTGATACAATACATGTCTATATTCTCCAACATTAGGCACCATAAACTCTTGGGGTAGGGCCGTAAATCAGTCAAGTTTAAGCAAGTTCTGGCTTGGTTTGTGTTCGGCACGAAATTAATTCATTTAAATTAATTAGAAAAGTAGATGCAGCATGTTGGATTTGGCGACTTCGGCAATGTATGAAGATTGCGAACATTATTGAACAACTCTTACAACTGTAAAAATCTTATTGTAACAAGCACAATTAGTTTGTTATTTTCAAAGCTATCAAGTATATCAATAAGCTATATTGTGAATGTGCTCACTAGAACATGTTCAACAGAGGCTCTTGGGTAATATTTAATTGATGACTTCTAAGGTGTCTCGAGATGGTATTAGGAAGTTCATGAGATGTACCATCTCATATACTCAATGTGAGCTTATTAACTTTGTTCATACAAATTGGGATTAGTGATCATCTAGTATGTATGAACAAAGTTAACATATGATATACTCAATGTGAGCTTGTTAACTTTGTTCATACAATACATATGAAAGCGTTGAACCATTGGGGCTGATTTTTGAAGTTAACTTTGTAAACAAACTCTCAATCATGAACCATTTGAGCAATCAAACATCTAAAAGTCATTCATGTTCATACAAATTGGGATTAGTGATCATCTAGTTACAATCTCGTACTTTTGCATGACCAATTTTATCTTCAAATCAGATTGAGACTCATTTGATTGATTCAAGTTTGATGATCATCGGTGACCACGTTGTAATATATTACATATTTGGGCAAGAGCTTGTGCAAGCAAACCTCATGCTTGCTTAAGTACGCCATTAAGCATTCAAAAGCATTTGCAATCATTTTGTCATAACATCATCACGACAAAAATCTTATTTAGCTGAATCTCGTTATGCCTCAACGTTTATTTTTTTTTTATTCATCTAACGATTGAAACAAATAATATCATTTATATTACCAACCCTTAAATTACCAACACAATATGTCTTTTCACATAAGGCTTCAATAGTTGTTGCAACCATTATGTATTGTGTTTATGTTAAATTTTTCCATAAATAGTATGAGCAATTTTGGTGAGCAACTCAAAAAACAATATCACGGCAATCACAAACTATACCCATATACTTGTCTGAAATTATGAATAAGTCTAACCGTGAACGAATTTATGAAATAAGCTCATTTAATATCTTCAAAAATCAGCCCCATGGTTCAATGCTTTCATCTCCACAATCATCAATGTTAATGAGAAGAGGCGATTATTTTTGTTGACACCAATACCATAGAGAAATGTCCTCCTAAATTTGATAAGTAGAGATATTTCATTTGTAGTTAACATATGCCCAACCATTTATGCATGATCCAAATGTCCAAAACATGCTATTAAAATAATAATAGCCAATAATCAAGTTTGATGAATCATCGGTGACTTGATAAATATGGAGACAACATTGTAATATATTATATATTTGGGCAAGAGCTTGTGCAAGCAAAGCTCATGCTTGCTTAAGTACGCCATTAAGCATTCAAAAGCATTTGCAATCATTTTGTCATAACATCATCACGACAAAAATCTTATTTAGCTGAATCTCGTTATGCCTCAACGTTTATTTTTTTTTTATTCATCTAACGATTGAAACAAATAATATCATTTATATTACCAACCCTTAAATTACCAACACAATATGTCTTTTCACATAAGGCTTCAATAGTTGTTGCAACCATTATGTATTGTGTTTATGTTAAATTTTTCCATAAATAGTATGAGCAATTTTGGTGAGCAACTCAAAAAACAATATCACGGCAATCACAAACTATACCCATATACTTGTCTGAAATTATGAATAAGTCTAACCGTGAACGAATTTATGAAATAAGCTCATTTAATATCTTCAAAAATCAGCCCCATGGTTCAATGCTTTCATCTCCACAATCATCAATGTTAATGAGAAGAGGCGATTATTTTTGTTGACACCAATACCATAGAGAAATGTCCTCCTAAATTTGATAAGTAGAGATATTTCATTTGTAGTTAACATATGCCCAACCATTTATGCATGATCCAAATGTCCAAAACATGCTATTAAAATAATAATAGCCAATAAATTCAGTTCTATTTTAAGTGGTAAGAAAAATACATTTCATAGAGCCCAAATAAAATTGTTAATGGAGAGGTATGACTCCTCCCAACTATTAAAAGTACATTTAATAGTTTTTCATCTAGCATCCCATGCTTTATATATGATGTTTAGAGATTAAATTTAACCTCTATTTGCCTAATAATTAGTTTTAAATTTAGATATCATCGAACCACATTTGTAATATATTGACATAAAAATTTTAATTTGCAATTGTAATGACTAGCATTTAACATTGGGTGAGCCACAATGCACTGGCAAAAGATTAGCTTCTAGAAGCATGTAGAGACCAAAGATATGAAGCACCAAGATCATCTTGGTTAATGCACTCCACAATGAAACTCTTCTCAATTATTGTATTTTTTTTTTTTAATTTCATGTTGTTAATGATTAACCAACCACTTAATGCAACTTGGAGATCGCTCTTCAAAGCAAATATCATCACAACTTCTAGATAATTCAGGATTACCTCATAACCTATTTGATCTAGATTTTTTATTAGGAGAACACATAAATCATCAACATCTTATTCTTATGTTAATATGCTCACATGCATGTCGACACTATTTTGAGTGGTGGAATTGCACGTTGGAAGCTGTCGGCCGCCAAAATCGAAATCTCGTCGCCCGCTTCGGAAAGACGTTTAATTTACATATATATGTATAGTTTAGAAAAATATGAAATCAAACCAACCT